AACTTTATCCAGCAGCCTCTCCCCGCCGGCTCCACCACGGGTGCCGGGTACAGTGGACAGTCGGGTGCTCTGGGCCAGGGTGAACGGACCTCCACTGCACTGACTACCTGTAAGCCTCTTCTAACATCGCGAATATGGAAGCTATGCTAACTGACTCTCAGTCAACACCTTCTGGTGCTACGTCATGCCCATCTTGGGTGCCTGGATCGCCGATGAATACTGGGGTCGTATGCGAACCATCCAAGTCTCCATCGGTTTTGCTATGCTTGGTCACATTATCATCATCATCTCCTCTATTCCCCCGGTTATTGTACATGCGAACGGTGCATTGGCTTGCTTCGCTGTTGGTCTGGTGATCTTCGGTATTGGTGTGGGTGGATTCAAGTAGGTGCCGTCACTCCTCATTGAGGAATCAAGCCTAACTGTCACAGATCCAACATCTCGCCCCTGATTGCCGAACAGTACAAGGAGACCAAACTTTTCATTAAGACTATTCCCAAGACTGGAGAGCGTGTTATCGTCGATCCCGCACAGACCATCACTCGCATTTTCCTATACTTCTACTTCATGATCAACGTCGGCTCCCTTATCGGATCCGTGGCCATGGTGTACGCGGAGAAGTACGTGGGATACTGGCTGGCGTTCCTCTTGCCCACCATCATGTTCGGTATCTGTCCAATTGTTCTTTTCTTTTGCCGCAAGCGGTACACTGTGACGCCCCCCACTGGATCGGTTGTGACCAAAGCCTTCCAGCTTTGGAGCCTGGCTCTCCGAGGCCAATGGTCCTGGAACCCTGTCACTTTGTAAGTCATTCCCAGATACTACTGGGACTTTGCTGACGGATCAGCTACCACCGCTGCCAATCGACGGAATTCTGGGACAGCGTCAAGCCCAGTCGCCTTGCCAACAAGCCCAGTTGGATGACGTTTGATGACAATTGGGTCGAAGAAGTGCGTCGTGCCGTCAAGGCCTGTGCTGTCTTTGCCTGGTACCCTCTTTACTGTTAGTGTCCCCATCTCGACCTGAAGCCATATGGTCTTTCTAACTGATCCCCGCAGGGCTGGCCTACGGACAAATGACCAACAACCTGACATCTCAGGCGGCCACCATGCAGCTGCACGGCGTGCCTAACGATATCATCAACAACCTGGACCCCCTTGCCCTCATTATCTTCATCCCGATCATGGATCAGTTCTTCTACCCGGGTCTCCGCAAGATGGGCTTCCACTTCACCCCGATCAAGCGTATCTATGTTGGATACCTGCTGGCCTCCGCATCTATGATTGCCGCTGCCGTCACTCAATACTACATTTACAAGTTGAGCCCATGTGGCGACCACCCCAGCACCTGCGACGAAGCCGCTCCCATCAACGTGTGGGTGCAGGCAGTGCCTTACGTGCTGATTGCCTTTTCGGAAATTTTCGCCTCGATTACTGGTTACGAGTATGCGTATACTAAGGCACCGAAGAACATGAAGAGTTTGGGTAAGTTCTTGTTCCTTCATATGTCAGGGATAAGCTACTGACAGTGTCTAGTTCAATCGCTCTACCTCTTCATGAACGCCATCTCATCTGCCATTCAACAAGGTCTTACCGCTCTGTCGACCGATCCCCTCCTGATCTGGAACTACGGGTTCGTCGCCGTGCTGGCTTTCGTCGGTGGTAATCTCTTCTTCCTCTGCAACTTGAAGTTGGATAAGGAGGAAGACGAGTTGAACAACATCGAGGAGTCGGCGTATCTGGGACGCAACGCGGGTGAACCCGGAAAGATTGAGGCGTAGTGATCATGGTGTATGATTTATGGTGATGGATACAATGTATACTTAATGCATGACTTATGTTAAACTAATACTATTGACGTTTGATAATACATCTCACCCACTTTCAACCTCCATTGACCATATTTAAGCGGGTCTACTATTAAAGTAGGTTATGACATCATTCCGTCCACCCGTCAACGTTCCGACGGATGTGGATAGATTTGTCTCAACCCGACACTATATATAGCTCCCAAGACTTGCTAAATAGTACTAGTATACGAGGTGACTCAACATGAACCCGCAAAGCACACGCGGCCATGATCTTGGCTTTCGCCATGCCTTGACTATTATATATCAACGAATCCCAACTACTTACCTGCAAGCCACCCACAAAACATCGCAGCTACTACCACCACCATGCAATCCACCCAAGACCCCGCCGACATCGCCATCATCGGCGCCGGCATCGTCGGCTCAGCCCTAGCATACTACCTCTCCCACAACAACAAAACCAAGAAAATCATCCTTCTTGACCGCTCCCTAACTCCCCTCAACGGCTCAACCGGCCACGCTCCCGGCTTCGTCGGCCAATACAACGACAGCGCCATCCTCACCCGCCTCGCCAGAGATACCGTGCAGGAGTACACCAAGATCCCAGGCGGCTTCGACACCATCGGCGGGATTGAGCTGGCTACGAGCCAGACAGGCACAGAGCGTCTCCAGCGTCGATATGATTCGGCCAGAGCAGCAGGCCTCCCTGCGGACCTCATCTCCCCGGAGGAAGCATCTCGCATGGCCCCAGCGCTGATCAAGAAAGAGGATGTAACCAGTGCGTTGTACTTTGCTAGCGATGGAGCAGCCAATGCTACGCGTATTACGAGATTCTATCAAGATGAAGCGCGCTCTAGGGGCGTTAATTGTATCGAAGCAGATGTCACTGGTATCCATAAAGATAGCAATGGTCGCGTGGACGGTGTGAACACAGGTACAGCTGGATTCATACCCGCGAAAACCGTCATCCTCGCTACGGGTATCTGGGCACCGGAACTTCTTCCGGACATTGCTACCCCTATCCCTATCGTCCCTGTCGCTCATCCATACATGTACGGACCTCACCACGACCAGAAGAAGGTACCATCACCATGGATCCGCTGGCCCGACCACCACGTCTACGCGCGCGACCACGGCTCCTTCTACGGCCTCGGTTCATACAACCATGCCCCTGTCGCGCAGGAACCAAAGGATACCGCCATCGGCGAGTGGATTCCTCGGTTTGATGCTACATTGAAACATGCACTGGGATTCATCCCGCCCGAAACTGGCCTCACTCCTAGAGAGACATTTAATGGAATTTTCTCCATGACGCCAGATAATCTGCCCCTGGTGGGTGAGATTCCTGGGTTAGATGGTGTGTATCTGGCTGCTGCGGTGTGGGTTACGCATGCGGCGGGGGCTGCGAGGTTTTTGCGTGATTTGTTGGAAGGGAAGGAGGTGGATAGGGAGATCAAGGAGGGGTTGGATCCGGGCAGGTTTGCGGGGAGGGATGGGAAGACACTTAAGGAGGTGGCGTTGGGCGGGTATAATGAGATTTATAGGGTTGGTGCTGCAGAGATATAATTGGGGAGATGCTGTGTTGAGTGCAGATTACCCCCTCTCGGAGATATCGATGATACTAGATGATGACAGGCGCCCATAAGCACCATAAAATACTTCAGTCATTATAATTGGCGATCCCGGCTAGCCTACATAGATCCTTGGAATTTGGAATATGCCGAACACGGGGACTTAAGCGCTTAACTCCGGTGTCTCCGTGCAGCTATTTGTCACCTTATAAGGCATGTACCTTCTCAGAGCTTCGTAGGTTTTCATTATATATCGCTCCCATACAAAATAACTATACACAATGCGAACAGAACCTTACCAAACATGGCTCATCACCGGAGCCTCTTCAGGCCTAGGAAAGGCCATTGCCGCCGAGGCCCTTATCGCCAATCACAGGGTCATTGGCACGACGCGCGACATTGAAAAGGCCGAGACTTCTTATCCTGAGTTCGCTCCCAATGGAGGAATCTGGGTATGCCTGGATCCTGCTCAGCATGATGCGTATGAGCGGTTTTCGGTGGTAGCTGTGGAGTATAATGTGGATGTGTTGGTGAATAGTGCGGGGTATGCGTTTATTGGGGCGGTGGAGGACACAAGGTACGCTCTTGCTTTAACAACCTTTCCTGACATATGCTGTACTTTACAATGATGTGTCTATGGAACTAGCTGATTCATTCTTTAGTGAAGAAGAAGTCCGCGCCCAAATGGAAGTCAACTTCTACGGCCCCCTCCGGGCCGCGAGGGCTTGTATACCTATTATGCGTGAGAAGGGGTCAGGACATATTATTCTCATTAGTAGTGGAGCTGGGTATGTCAAGTTTACTTGTTCGATGAAACCATACCCAATTAACAACACTGATCCAAAAATTAAAGTATCATCGCCCGACCCGCCCGCTCCACCTACGCCGCCAGCAAATTCGCCATCGAAGCGATCTACGAATCGCTCTCCCAGGAAGTGAAACCCTTTGACATCAAGGTTCTGATAGTCGAACCCGGTGCATTCCGCACGCCCTTCCCGGGTCGACAGGTCTTTCCTAGTGGACCTGGATTGGAGAAGGGATACAGTAGTGTGTACAAGTATACGCCGGTTGAGGAGATGATGGCGTTATCGAAGGATATGAACTCGACGACGAAGTGGATTAAGGGCGATCCTGAGAAGGCGGCTAGGGCTCTGGTTGTAGCTGTTGATAATGGGTATGCTGGATATGGGTTTTTGAGGATGCCGTTGGGTAAGGATTGTGTGAGGGTGTTGGAGGAGAAGATTGCCGCGTTGCAGGCGGATTTGGAGGTTACTAGGGAGGTAGCGATGGGGACTGATGTTGATATTGATGAGGAGTGAGGTGTATACAATTCAAAGATTTGTGGCTTGTTGTATCAAGAACTGGGGTGTTTATATCCTCCTGTTCGAGTCTGATAAAAACACACTATGTGTAAAGTTAGCGAGTGCTTGTTGAGTAGTAGCTAGATTGCCTACCGAATTAAACAGTATCTAATCTAGCAACCTGGTTGCCTGCACTACGGATGCACAAATGCCTCCCGCGAACCCTAAATTATTAGTCCGGTTTAGCATGCATCCATGCATCCACCGTCATACTTAAACAGCGTCTCCCTCGTATTCATCCCCCTCTTAAACACATCCCTCCCCTCTCACAACTACAATAACGATGCTCTCTGTTCTCCTCATCCCCATCCTCCCCATTATCTACCTCATCCACAAATACTTCACCGACCCCCTCTCTCGCATTCCCAACGCCCATCCCCTCTCACCATATACCACCCAATGGATAACCCACCACCGCAACCGCACCACAGAAGTGAAAGCCATCTACACCGCCCATCGCGCCCGCGGGCCCATAATCCGCCTTTCGCCCACAGAACTCAGCATCAACTCGCTTGAAGGCCTGCGGGCGATCTATACGCAAGGCGCGTTCGAAAAACATGCGTTCTATGCTGAGACGTTTGTGAACTTCCATACGCCGAATATGGTCGGTATGCTGGAGAATAAATCCCACGGGGAACAGAAGAGGTTGCTCAGTGGGGTTTATGCCAAGAGTTATCTGCTTAGGTCGGGGGATATTAGGGTTCTGGGAAAGGAGATGGTGGCTGGGAGGCTGAGGGATTTTTTAAGGAGGGTTGTTGCGAAAGGTGAGGTCGTCAATGTGTTGCCTGTTCTTCAGGCTGTGGGGATGGATTTCACCTCTGGGTTTGTGTTTGGAACGCAGGGTGGGACGAGGTTTTTGGAGGATTTGCCTTCTTGGGGAGTGTGGTTGGGACAGTATGAGGCTTTCAAGAGCATGAGTAGGGAAGATAGGTTTATGGGTTTCGTGGAGAGGTGGTGTTTGGGGTTGTGTGAGGGGGTTGGTCTTTCGAAGGAGAGTGGAGGGCCGGTGACGCAGGCTGTGGTTTATGATCGGCTTCGGGAGGGATTGGAGAAAAAGAAAAAGGTATCTGGCGAGGGTATAAATGTGAAGTTAGCTGTTGCATCGGAGATATTGGATCATTTGGTGGCGGGGCATGAGACGACTGGTATTACCATCACGTATATCATGTGGGAGTTGTCGAAGAGGCCGGAGTTGCAGACAAAATTGAGAGAGGAGCTTGCTACATTGTCTGGGTCGTTAAGGCATACTAGGGGGATGGAAAGTGAACTACCTCCGCTAGCAGACATCGATGCACTTCCGTTGCTAGATGCCATCGTCCGGGAGACTCTCCGACGACACGCACCGGCTCCGGCACCGTTACCTCGGGTGACTCCACCAGAGGGAGCATGGATACATGGGTATTATATCCCCGGTGGAGTGCAGGTCGGTTCCTCTGCATACTCGCTGCACCGAATTGAAGAGGTCTTTCCGTCTCCGGAGGAGTGGATTCCTATGCGTTGGATGGATGCGAAGGATGACAAAATCCACGATATGCGGCGCTTGTTCTATCCGTTCGGAACCGGAGGAAGGATGTGTCTGGGGAGCAATTTTGCATTTCTGGAGATCAAGCTGGTTATAGCGATGGTATATGCTAACTACTCGCCCGAGGTTGTGGATGATGAGGATATCGAACAGCACTTGGAGTTTATTGCGTTGCCAAAGGGTAGGAAGTTGATGGTTCGGTTTGTTCCCGTCGAGGATGGTACTGTTTGATATTGTCAGAGATGACAGAGGAAACCTTAGCCCATCCTGAGCCGGGAAATTGATAGAAGCTATGGACATACCTCCACCTCAAATATGGTACTCAATCCCATATAGCCGAATGTGCCGTTCTCAGTGTTCAGTGACCCAGCCAAGTTTGCAACGTGAGGTCTGAGCAACCGTCATCGGGGAAGCACACTCTAGCAGGAATGCCCACGATACTGTCAAATCTTCTGTTGTTGATAAAATTCGTCGGACCACGATACATTTCATTATGAGAGGGCTGATACGGCCTCAGGCCCTCAACCCGTTGGACATGTCGTCCCGTGATCCGGCAGAAGGAGAGACTGGCACCTGCCGATGAGAACAACGGCTGGAATTCCCCTCATTCATCACATACCAACACTCCATTCACCTCTAAGAAGACAAAATTCAGTTATTGAATAATTCTCAGTCACTTCCTGCTGCCCAGGTGCTCCCTACGTCATGTCTTTCACCAGACAGCAGCACGCAGTCATGTCACCCACTTGTGCAACGGTGATAAACTTCACATGATGAGCCGAGTTTCTTGTCAAAGTCTAATCGGCAAATAGCATTCAGATCTCTAGCAGACCGTGCACACAGATGATAGCTATTCTCTGAAGTCTGACATGCCCTCGCCGGTCGCATTCAGGTAGCCAAGGCACAGTAAATAGAACGCAGATAAGGATGGCAAGATACAAATTAGCTTCTTCAAAACAAGAGAATACCACAGGTAGTAAGGTACCCATGCAGGTGAATCTGTGCCGCCTGTCACGGCAGCAACGCCTTGCCTTTCACCATAGCAAGGAGCCAGCATGGCCATTGCGCAGGTGCAGTGCGTATTTATTCGTCAAATGCCGCCTAGACTGGCACTCTTATTAGTCCAGCGCGCGAATACCAGCTATGCTATAGCCCGTCTCTTCCAAAATGTCTACACTTCCCTCATCTTCAGATTTGCACGGGATGCCTGAGCCGATATTCTACCCCTGTCGGGTTCGACATACCAGGGTACATCCAGTTGTTCATTCATTCTCCTATCCCTATCTTTGGGTTGTGCTGCCTGTTCGGTGGCGGGGCAACAGTATCGAGAAATACAACTCGCCTGTGGTCGGCTTTGGATGGTTTACCGTGGATCCCGGTGATTACTTGGAAAGAGGCAACCATGCTGGACTACACGGGAAGCTTCGTCAGTATCTGCATAGTCAGGTAAAGCCGTCCGTCATCTGCGCGTGTGTCTCACTAATCTTCAACCCAGCGCCTCAAGGATGAAGACTACCCCTATGTCCTTCTTCTTACTGCTCCCAAAGTGCTAGGCCATGTCTTTAATCCCGTCTCTTTCTGGTATTTATATTCCATCAATAAAACCTTGGCCGCCGTCATCTTAGAGGTGAACAACAACTTTGGTGAGCGGCATATGTACTTGCTCCTATCGACGGGGTCAACTTCCGGGGACACTAGCGTTGCCGATCCTGCAGATCAGCCTTGCCATACATTGAACCGCTTCTCCAGCACCTGGTCGAAAGACTTTCATGTTTCACCGTTCAATCCCCGAGAGGGCATGGCATATACCCTAACCACCGCTGATCCCTTGCGGTGCGAAAGGCCGATCGACAGTCGGATCGTGCTAGTTGCCTCCAATCGGGTCCGACTCATTGCTTCTATCCGCGCTACGGGGCCGGCGATCCGCCCGGCTGCTCTCTCCGCCTACCAGCGATCCCAGCTGATCTTATCGTGGGGGTGGGTGGGGGCTTTAACGGAGCCACGCATCTATTTTCAAGCTGCAATGCTTCATGTGCAACGGAAACTAAGGGTCTGGTCTCTGCCGGTGCCGTTGGAGAAAACAATCAGTCGGCGCGCAAATCGACTCGAACGATCGCTCGAATATTTTGTTAGGGGATATCTGCGGCATCGAGTGGAGAACACTGACGGATCATTTACCGTGCGGTATTCCGCTGCAGGACTGTTTGCCAACGACGCGGTCGAGATCATGCAATCACCTTTGGCGCGTGCAGTTTCGAGCAAATGCCCGGACAAAGCCGTTGGATTTCGGGTTCTACGGCCGGACTTCTACACCTCCTTCGTAGAGAGTCAAGCCTTGACCGCCGAAGAAGTCTTCAAGCTCTTGGCGGGACATGATTTCCTGCGCGTGTCGCGCATTAATATGCTTCGGGATCTATTCTGTGACGAATCAGGCTCGTTTCCAGAACTTGCTAAACTCTCTAGACCCGGTTGTCTCGCTTTCCGAATCATCGCCTGGTTCCGAAAGGGGCGGCCCGCAGCGAGTGCTGGTCTGCTTTCTTTGTCTGCTCTGGACTGCTACGTGCTGACCAGCTGTAGTCCTACTGAGCAGAGGCACTACTGGCTGCAAGTGATGAAGTTGTTTCTCAGTCGCTACTTTGCCTTTGGGCACGTACCGCTCTTTGAAGTCGAAGTTCTTGTCGCCCTCCTGGCTGTGGGGTGGGGTCTCCTGGCCACCCTTAGTCTGGTTTATTCTTCAGATGATTCCACTATCTGATCAATTCTTTGTCAGATGGTGCGGTAGAACGGTAGTTCATTGGTATTGAAACAACGCTGCTGCCCAACAAATACTCCTGTAGCCACATATGGTCAAATCCAACCTGTTCACTCACTGAAAGTCTGGTACAGTGAAAAAGCTAATGTTATTAACACCCGAAATTGGATGTCTCTGTGCGACCACCGATACTTTCATGGTGCTATGGGCGGAGGAAACTCGGTGTATATTGGAGGCCCTGCAGCTAGCTTTATGGAAACATAGTCACCTATCTCCTTAACGTCATCTTCGCCTTCTCCGCGATAATTCGTCCGGTGGACAAACAATCGACGCATGCCGATTCCCAGTCTATCTTTCTTTGTGGGTTTATAGCCCCGACATGATTACTGGCTTTACCACGGACCGGATGGCCAGCCAACATTAACCCAAACTCTATCAATAAGTGTGACGCGAACCGGGAGCTTAAGATCTCGCTCGGACTGCTCGGCATGGAACCTTAATCTGGTGGAAAACTATGGAATGATCGGACTAGTGGCCACATCCTGCTACAACATCAGCTGGAAGTGACGGTCACACAAAGACCAGGGGTACGTGCTACAAAAACGTAACTCGGGGGGTGACTTTTGGGGAGTGAATGGTACGAAGTGATTTCGGACTGGATTGCAGGAACATGGCAAGGGAATGTACACGTACGGTTTAGCTGCATGCAGAGTGACAAAGCACGTCATGCTGTTACTGGAGTGAAGTAGCATCCGCTGCCAAGCAACAAGATCTTGGTCAATCTTTCTGTAGAGTACTAACTTAGGACATAAATAGCCAGTAGCCATCAGGGGTCACGCTCATGATCTACAGAGTGTACACTGATTGTCGTTAAGATCGCTCATTACACGACATGCAAGACAGGTACTGTGATCTATGAGCCATAGCTAAATTTCGACTAACATCATTCAGCAAGAAGATAGCCATCATTGGCAGCGGCGCGGCCGGTATGGCTGCCCTCTGGGCCCTGCACCAACATTCTCCTCACCAGGTCTACCTCTACGAGGCGGCTCCTCGTCTTGGAGGCCACATCAATACTGTAGAGTTCAAGAAGGGGGAAGATGGCGTCAATGTCGACACTGGATTTATCGTGCTCAACAATTCCACCTATCGTGAGTTCCCTCCCTTGTACTTCAGGCCTGGTCTAACAGAACAGCCAACTTCTTGAACTTCCTCAAAGCAATCAATGTCCCAACCACGCCCTCAGAGATGTCGTTTAGTGTTTCCCGATTCTCCGACTCGGGGTCATTTGAATGGGCAGGCTCCTCCTTGAGAAACCTTTTTGCTCAAAGCAGAAACCTGTTCTCTCTGTCAATGTGGCGGATGGTGTTCGACATGGTGAGGTTCAACCACTTCGCTCCTGACCTTCTCCGTCTCCCAGATGTGGATAATACCATGTCGATAGGCGAGTACCTCGAGAAGGAGGGATACTCGGCATTCTTCCGCGACAACTACCTAATCCCGTTGACGGCATCGACGTGGAGCACGAGCCCGGACAAGTGCAACTTGCAGTTTCCTGCTGTGACCCTCATCCGGTTCTTGTATGTTTCTGTCCCTATATCACGTTGATTTAGAGCTAATGCTATCAGATACAATCACAATCTGCTTAATACGCTCGGGCAGGGTCTCGAGTGGCTTGGCGTGACGAATGGCGCAAAGAGCTACATTGATACCATCATGGCCGACTTTCCCTCAGAACGTGTCTTTCTCAACCAGCCTGTACTCTCTGTTGTGAATGATCCAGCCTCGGGCATGGTCAAAATCACCACCGCCAACGGCACAACAGCCGCCTACGACCATGTCATCCTTGCTACGCCTGCACCCCAGGCACTCTCAATAGTATCCCAAACCGCAACTCCGCTAGAGAAATCCATACTCTCGTCATTCGAAACCACCACCAACACCGCAGTTCTTCACTCTGACGAGGCCCTTCTTCCCCAGAACCGCCGGGTCTGGTCCACTTGGAACTATCTCAGCAACGGCGCGGCAGACCAGGTATGTGTTACGTATAACATGAACCGGGCGCAAGGGGTCTCGCACGCGAAATACGGGTCGGTGTTGGTGACGATGAATCCGCTGTTCATGCCGGATGAGCGCACGATCCAGGGAGTATTTCAGTATGAGCATCCTCTGTTTACTCCGGCGGCGGTGCGGGCGCAGACGATGCTACCGAGGATTCAGGGCACAAGGGGGATCAGTTACGTGGGAGCGTGGACGATGTATGGGTTTCACGAGGATGCGTTTACGAGTGCGTTTGGGATGGCCGGGGAGCTTGGGGCCAGAATCCCGTTTCCAGTTGCTGATAGTCGCTTGAGGGGGTGTACAGTGAGGGAGGTTAGTTGGTTGAAATATGTATTCAGATTGGTGTTGCAGGGTGTGCAGGTTTTGATAATGTGGTTGGTGGGAGGGGAAGTGAAAAGGAAGCAGAAGGCGTGGTAGATCTCTTACACACTGTGATTATCATTCACATATTTGAATAGACAAGGTTTTTTCAGTGCTATTCTGGGTGTTGCAATACCTGTCACATTGATTATCCTCCGAGGTGATTACACGCAATCTCATATCATCTGATGTACCCCTTGCATAATCTGTCTGACCGAATATGAGTACGATCTACGATGCCAAGGTTATTGTAGACATACCACCTCGTGTCCACATTAGGAATACTGGATATGAGAGTATATCAAAACGATGGGTGGATGAACCCTAAGTGAAGCAAGCACCGCATGGGTCTCCCGGACTTTCTCCGATGGCTTCCCCACCCGCCAATCCATCATCAACTAAACAACCCCTCACGCTCTTTATCATCTCTCATTTCACTTCTACCTGTGATCTCTACTCTTAACAAACAACACTACTCCCTCTCAACCAGACCTCCACTGCCAAGCAACCATGTCCGACTCCCTCCCCAAGACTTACGACGACCTCCCCGACAAGCGGCGCTACTGGCCCGCAGCCCCCAACTCCGCCGACGAGGGGCTGGGGATGCTCCGTCTCCTCACTCCAGAAGTGGTCGCCAACGCAGCACGCACCCAGATCCAGACCGGCGAGCGCGTATGCCTGAACTGGGACCTGGAGAAGCTGAACCCACCAGGTACCCCTCTTCCAACCCATCCTCTATCGCCAACTAATCAAACCACAGGCTTCGGCCGCAAACCCTTCGCCCACCAGGTAAAATGGGTCAACGAAGGCCACGCCTTCGACGACGAATACCACTTCAACCCACAGCAATCCTCCCAATGGGACGGCCTACGACACCACAACGCCCCGGCCCCAACACCCGACGACCCTGACCGCCGCGTCTTCTACGGCGGCACCACCTCCACCGAGATCCTCGACCCGTCCTCAGCTCGCATCGGCATAGCCCACTGGGCCAAGAAGGGCATCGCCGGCCGCGGCGTCCTAATCGACTACGCCTCATACATCCAGCGCACCAAGGGCATCACAGTAAACGCCCTAACCCGCCACACCGTCTCCTTGGATGACGTCCTCACCATCGCGAAGGAATGCAACATTACCTTCCAGCCAGGCGACATTCTCTTCCTGCGCGTTGGCCTACCCACGACGTGGGATAACATGACCGATGACGAGAAGGTCAAGTACAGTCAACAGCAAATGCCTCAGCATGCAGGATTGGAGCAGAGTGAGCGTGTGGTGCGGTTCCTCTGGGACCAGCATTTCGCGGCTGTGGCGGGCGATGCGGTCAGCTTTGAGGTGTATCCGCCGATAGAGAAGGAGTGGGATTTACATCACTTTCTGCTTGCTGGGTGGGGAGTGCCGATTGGGGAGATGTTTGATCTGGAGGGGTTGAAGGAGGTTTGTGAGAGGTTGGGCAGGTGGACGTTTTTTGTTAGTAGTAGTCCGTTGAATTGTAAGACGGGGGTGTCGAGTCCGCCGAATTGTATGGCGATCTTTTAGGTGGGGTTTTGGGAGGTCGGGGTTGGTGTTGAGGGGAGAGGAAGTATTGGTTGGGTCTGATTAGGTCTCGTTGCCGTCTCTGGTATCTGCTTTGATAAGTTCGTTCTGAGCTGAGCGTTATTTGTGTTATAGAATGGGACAGAGTCTATGTATATTGTTATGGTTCATTTGGGCTACAGTAGCAGCATCCGCTCAAACAGTGATCACACAAACTGCAGGCCGAGAAGACGCTCTCTAAGCTTTGGGGTTATTTTAGTTTCTTTCTATTGTTTTCTCTTCGGGTTGGTTGTGTCAATAGCTTCCCATTAGTGAACTACTCAATACAAAGACAGCATTCATCACCACAGCCTAGTTAACCACCCCTATGCCACCATAACCCTATAAACTAACGCCGCCACCACCACCGGCCCCAACACCCACAACCCAACCCTGCACCCCAACCTCACCATCCCCCTCCACATCACAATCTTCACCTTCTCATCCAACCACTTCTTCTCATTCAAATGCGGAAACGGCACCTCAGGCACTGGCTTGCCCAAGAACTCACACAACGGCTCCCACCCCTGACTCAACTTGAACTCCAGCAACCTCTCAGGCGGCGTCAACCTCCTCACCAACGCATAATGCTCCTTATACTTCTCCCGACTGACACGCTTCGCATCCTCGGGTCCCTTAATCCCCAACCACCCCTCAAACGTCGACTTATGCACCTTGCCCAACGGGTGAGTGAACCACCGATCAATGGTATATATGATGGTCACGATAGGATCATACGTATTGGCAATCACGCCGTTCATCCAGCTCTGGTACCACGAGTCGATGTCTCTCTCCACCAGGACTACTTTGGCCTCCGGGTATGCGTTGAGCAACTCCTCGGAGAAGGCGATGGCCGGGGTATCGGAGGATATGGCGGCGTAGTCGTGAAGCAGTTGATCGAACTCGGCTCGGCCGTAGAGAGGACCTGGTGCGTTGAAGAACTTTCGGTCGATGGCTTCTTGCCACATGGGGATGGTGCCGAATTTGTCGGACATTAGGTGGATGGAGTGCCAGCAGGGGAGGGAGAGGGTTTCGAGGGCGGAGCACATTGCTATATACATACATACCGTCTTTAGTGTCTTGGGGGTGGGAGTGAGTGACTGGTGTCCGGTTGTTTATTACTTACAGGCTGTTCCTGTTCGGTTGAATCCTAGGCAGAGGACTTGGAGTGGAACGGTGCGCTTCTTGCCTCGTGGAGATTCGCTGTTCACGGGGCGGAAGAGCTCGGGGTGGCGGTCTTGGGGGGTTGCCATTGTGTAGACTCAGTATACTTGTATGATAGGCTGTATTTTGTTGATTGGTATGTGTAGGAGAAAGATAATCGATGTTTGAACTACGATGGCTATGGTGTTGTTGTAGAGGCATTTTATAGTTCTTTCAATCACTTGTATCATACTAGCGCTTACTTGTCGGCAGTTGGAGGAGTGCATTGATTGGTCTGCTCGTTCATGCATTTAGTCTCATTCATTAGCTCGTTAGCGCTTAGTTGGCTGGGGCAAGTTGTATAGTGTTATGGACAGTGGTAGATGCAAGCAATCAGATACAAGTCAGTGACGGGCTACTTTCAATTTGGTGATGAGTAGATATAGTCTGAGAAGAAAGTGATATGTCAGTAATAATACTCTTGAGCAGGAATATGATGCTCAAAAGTGGATATCCACGAGGCAGCTAATCGACACTATACCGATTCGGGCAATTCAGATGTAGGCTCTCACTTTTACAATGTAGATAATCGATTGTAAGATGACAATTAAAGAGATTTATTACCAAAATTTACTCCATAGATAATATCAAGTGACCTCTGCACTTCAGTGATAGACCATCCAAGATAAACAAGGGCTAATCACCTGCGATAAGATTAACTCCGACGGAGGTACCAAGTACCGAGGTAGTTTTTCCGAGATCGCCCCAAGATTGAGTCTCCGGCTTACTTTCTTACAAACAAACAACTCTCTCCTTGATTCAGTCTCCTTTTAAACTCATGCAGGATCCCACTCGTTCATTCTCTTCCTGATCTTATCTCCTTCTCCAGATTGAAGTCCGGGGAATCCCCGTTCCCATTGTACATTCAGCTACATCTACATAATACATAATAACAATAATCATCATGGCCGACCTCTCCACCCTCCGCGAAGTCATCCTCCCCACACTATTCTCCTGGAAATCCCTCGCCATTGTCCTCGCATTACTCAATCTCAAGAACATTCCTTTCTCGTGGCACGTACGTATACCTCACCCCCCTCTCATCCGTATATACCAAAGACTAATGAACGATGAAAATACTAATAGATCCGCCTCCTAACCCACCTCCTCCTCAACCTCCGCCGCTCCCCGACCTCCCCACCCTTCCCTACCTGTCCCCCATCTCCAACCCTCACCAGCAAGAACCAGAAGAACATCCAAACCCACCCAATCTTCCACCCGCACACACTCACCACGCGCACCTCCCTCTGGGAAACCGACTACAACTTCCACAAATCCAACAGCACGTATTTCTCCGATCTGGACATCTCCCGCACAGCCATCGTGACGAGGGTATACACGCCGGGTTTAGCGCTTGTGAGCTTGGAATTCGACCACGAGTTGAAGAACGGGAAGGATGAGAACGCCAAGGTTAATGTGGGGAAGAAGGTGTATGTCGCGCTGGGATCGACCTTTACTAGCTTTAAGAGGGAGATTGGGCCATTGCAGAGGTATCGCGTGTTGAGTCGCGTGGTGGGGTGGGATCGGAAGTGGGTTTATGTGTTGTCTGCTTTTGTGGGGATGAGTTCTGGGAAGAATGGAGGGAAGGGGAAGGTGTTTGCTACGGCGGTGAGTAAGTATGTGGTGAAGAAGGGGTGGGTTACTGTGCCGCCGGAGAGGGTGTTAAGGGCGAGTGGGATGTTGCCGGAGAGATCGACTGGTGATGAGGAGGGTGAGGATGGAGTGGTAGTTGAGGAGGAGGAAGAGGGGACGGTGGAGGGGATTGTGGAGGGGGTGGGGGAGGTGTTGAGTAAGGATGATCATGCTACATCAGGACAAGGGGTATCGGATTGGACGTGGGAGATGATCGAGGAGGAGAGGGTTAGAGGGATGAAGATCGTCGAGGGATATGTGGGATTAGATGAGAAGTTGCTGGCCGAGTGGGAATAGATTATACCTCCTATCCACACCTGCGTTTACATTGCTCCATCATTTCGGGTTATGTATATATAGATACCACCTAAGATGGATAGATGATATATAGATAAGATTCATTCATCATCGTTAATGATCAGTCACGTAGTCATGCATATCATAAAACCTTTCCTTCCCTATCATCCCCAACCTCCCTCAGAGCACTGTTCACTCAATGATCAAGACGACCCGCAAATCTCATTCTGAAGATCGACTCCAGCTACACACACCACCCATCAGCCAAATCCACCTCAACACTCCACTCCAAAGGGGAAAAACATACCCTGCACCTCATCCCCACACCCATTATTATTCAAACAGTCCACCACACCCTGCTGGAAACCGGCATTGGTGCAGTAGCAGTTAACATCACCGTCGCCACAGATCGTGCTGGATTCCACGCAGTTGCCCTGATATCATTAGCAACACTCCACAACATCCATCCCCATGACAAGACCCAGCAACAACAACATACAAGACAATCCGGAATACTCTGCGCCGCGGCGAAAGAGAGAATAGCCGCGATAGGGAGGACGATAGAAAACTTCATTGTGACAGGAGCAAGTAAAGTAGTAAGTATCTTGGAGGGATAGAAAAGGAAGGAGGTGAATGTGTCGTGCTACCACGAGGAAGTGAGGTGATTTATACCCTCAATCCCTCAATTAATTAGGACTAACTTATGTTATAATGAATACTATTCATTACTAAAGACGATCTCCTTGCGTGTGTGTGTGGGGTAGATCGCATGAATGATACCCAGTGCAAGGGAGGACGTATAGTATAGAAGATCAGTTGGTCAGGTATATCTGTGTCTTGATGATCTTTATATCGGTTATTTACTAGTAAGTAACTCTGAGGTGATGTATATTTAGCTCGGAAGGTAGTACATCAAGTACAATGTATGTCCATGGATGATGTCTTGGAAGGGCGAATGTGTTAAGGTAAGTATCATACAAAGGTCGGTGTGATAGATGGTATGTAGCAAGTGACATCATGGCATGTTTCACACATCCCATGTAGAATAATCTAAAGGAACGATGGGTACGTCGTGACTCTTCATTCCATGAGTAACTACCGTATCTGCAAGGGCTGCCAGCCCGGGTGTTTGAACGCCACCTTCACGAGGCAGCCACTGCGGTCAATGTGAGACATGCGTCAGTCAGTCCTTGCAGCGTCGGTTCGATTTCTTCAGTGTCTCAGTAGGATAGAATCTGTTGGTGTGAGTTTTAGACGCGTAAGCAGTGGGAAGCTATGACTATGATGAAATGTAGTCGTAAGGAGGAAATCTATTATGACTGTATATCTAGTCTAAATATATCAACGAGAAATGCACCTATATAAACACCCCAAAAGCCATCGGAATATAAAACAAAGAAAGAAAATTAAAAGCCACCTGCAGCCATTGAATCACTGCTTCCGCCACTTCTTCACCCGGAACAAATAATAAAACGCCGCCGCCGCCGCAATCTGCACAACAACATACACCCAAAAGATCCCAAAGTTCCTCCACTTATCACTTGACACAATGCCCGACATACTAATATACGCATCCGCTGTGCTCACAGAGCAGTACTCACACCCCGTCGTAGCATTCGGGTTCAACAGATTTCCCCCCGCAAGCTCCGCATACTGTCCCAGATACTCGCCGCAGGATTGACCCGTCGGGGGGTCAAGAACCGACAGCTCCGACGATGAACACACCACCTCCCTTCCTGAGACTTGTGTAGACACCATGGCCGACGCCCAGTATGTGAACGGGGATGCGCGGTACATAAAGATCCAGAAGCCCGGGAGAGCGGAAGGCGACTGCATGATACCGCAAAAAGTCAAGGACATGGCGAAGAGGAGGGTGACGACGGCACTGGCTGTGACGGTGTCAGGCATTGCGGCGATTATCATGTGTGCAAAGGTACTGGTGTAGATGAATAATTCAATGCAGAGGATGAGCACGGTGGCTTGTCGGGCGGAGCTTTGGATGCCTACTACCGGAAAATAGTAGCAGGCGAAGACGATGATGCCGAGAACAATTTGGTACGGTATTTCGACGATGATGTTGGCCATTAGGAATGCTTTCCAGCTGTAGGCTTTGCTGGGACGTTCGCGGACTTCGTAGAGGTCCCGTTGAGTGATGAAGAGAGGCATGATTTGCTGCACAAGGGAGGGGAAGATAGAGCACAGCATGAAGATGGAATAAATGACCGTCTGCAATCCTTGGAGGGAGGATTTGGCGTGGTAGAAAGAGAACCCAATGAAAAGGCCGCCAAACACGCCCAGGCCCCATTTCGCCAGCACGTATGAGGGCATGCGCCAATACTGCTGGAAGACCCGGTAGGTGACTTGGTACAACTGGAACCAGAATGGCATGGCAAACTCAGTATGGCTCCTTTCAGAGTCCTCTTCGACAGATGTGTTCTCCTTCTCGGCATGGATGCGATCGATCTCCGCTTGGACATCTTGACTTTCGCTGCTTTGTTTCCATACATCGAACCAGTTTTCTCCTTTAGCATTGGTGCCGTTGTTGACCATCTCGAGCATGTACTCGGCCGGGTTCTCGTCCTGTCCGCAAGGGCGTGGAGCGCTATGATTCTCAAAGTAATCGAGAAGTGTGCGCGAGTTCTCTCCCACTGGTCCGAAGTAGACAGTCTTACCGCCGCGAGCAAGGAATAACAGCCGATCGAATTGTTGGAACAAAACGGCGCTAGGCTGGTGAATGGTACAGAGAACCGCCTGTCCATGGTCGGCTAAGCGGCGCAGAAATGCGCAGATAGCCCACGAACTCTGAGAATCAAGACCACTTGTGGGCTCGTCCAAGAAAAGAAGAAGTTTTGGCCGTGCAGCTAGCTCCACACCGATGGTTAGCAGCTTGCGTTGTTCAACGTTCAAGCCCTCTCCCGGAACACCAACGACTGCTTCAGCAAAGTCCTCCATTTTCAGCATAGAAATGACTTCTTCGACATAGTCATACTTTTCCTTGAGCGAGACATTCGGCGGCTGGCGAAGCAGAGCACTGAACTGCAGTGATTCCCGAACAGTGGCTGTCTGAAGATGGAGATCTTGTTGCTGAACATACCCGGTCTTTCGCTGGAAGCTAGCATCCAGCCCTTTGCCGTTGACGAACATATCACCGGTGATCACTCCCATGGTGGTACGGTGAGCGAGAACATCAAGAAGGGTTGTCTTTCCTGCTCCACTGACACCCATGAGTGCAGTGAGAGTACCAGGCTTGACCCAGCCTGATACATGGTCCAGAAGCCGTCTAGTCTCACCCTTGATGTCGACATCATAACACACATCGCGCCAGGTAAAAATATCCTGTTGCGGAGCGAGTCCTCCGAGGTTCTCTGATTTTCCCGTGCCAGTCGGCTTGATGGTACTCAGCTCAACTCCATTCTCCACATCAGCAGACTTCGGACCTGTAGCACGCGACAAGGCACGCTTCTGGCTGCGATGGAAGACCAATACCTCGGCTGTGCTGGTGGTGGACGAGTTCAGCTCCGTAGCGAGGAAGTAGATCGCCATGAACGCGATCAAGAAAGCAATCAGTATACCAAAGTTGCGCCACACGTGGCTGTAGTAGTACCTGAAGTTGACGGCGATGTAACGATCACCGCTGACGAGCTTCTCGCCGGCAGTTGATCCGGACGTGGAACAAACAAAGGAAGAGCCATTCATGTCAGCGTATGACGGAATGAATGAAGAGCAGGGAAATTCGCGGCCGTGAAACTCGTTCGCGACAAGTATTTCAAACGCGTAGTAGATCGGATCTAGCAAGTCAGCAAGAGTCAACTAGGAGACAAAAGAGACATGAGACATACTGATGTAATGAATCCATTCGAACCAGGGATGCATTGAAGGAACGGGCAGCACAAATCCAGTATAGACGACCAGAGCCAAGATCAAAACTCCTGCCAGCGACATGGCCTGGGAGATGGTTTTCGTGACCGCCGCCATAGTTCGGAAGACCGCACTCATGACAAACATAACAATGAAGGAGATCAGGAAGTAGATAAAGAACTGGGCCGGTTCGCGTCGAAGATTGACCATAAAGTAGAGAATAACGTTGAACGCGACTGCGAGAGCGAACTTTACCGGTATGTCGCTCACAACACCCGCAATAGCCTCTGTTGCTGGATGGTAGAAAGCATAGGAAGCTTGCTTTTCCACAATCGGTCGCTGGGCGTAGAGTGTGTTGATCTCAGACATAGCTGCCAGTGCGTTCAAAAGGACGGCGAAGAAGAGCGCCGCCCCTTTAGAAGTAAAGGAAGCAGTGTCATTGGGGGAGTTGTAGTAAACCGAGCCGATGATCAGGGCCATGATGATCTGTCCACAGACCGTTGATACAGTGGTCTGGATATCCATCCATAGCCGTTGATAAGCGCGTTTCGTGTTCAATTTAATCTGCATGGGTACGCTCAGCAGAAATGGCGACTTGGGTCGCGTATGTTTAGCCTGCACAGCCCGCTTGCGCTCGTGAAACTCTGTATCGGTAACCTTGTTGCCATGCAAAGGATGCTCTTTTTCATACGAAGCAACCTCGGTAAGCGTTTTTTGGTACTCGGGTGACTGACGCCAATAGGCTTCAAAGTCGTCAGGAGTGCGAGGAACACGGCTCTCCATGCCTGCACGTGGCCGGCGTTCCTGGGGGTTGGTAACAGAGGTCAGGAAATCGCCTGTGGTTTGTCTCGGGGGACACTCCCAGCCCTGTCGCTCAAAGAAGGCTTTCGCCTCCGAAGTAGGTCCAAAGTAAATTTGGCGGCCCTCGTAGAGTACCGACACCTTATCGAAAATGTCATAGATGCTCTGGCTCGCTTGGTAGATGGCAACTGCATGAGCTGAGCCTGTCAGATCAGCCATCAATCGCAGAGCCTCGACGAATTTCAGCGCCGTGGCCGAGTCGAGACCACGGGTCGAGTTATCCCATGCCGCCAAAGGTGCTGCGGCCAAAGTCATTTCGGCAATGCTAACACGCTTGCGCTCTCCTCCTGAGACACCCCTGATAAACTCATTTCCAACCTTGGTGTTGTACGTGTGGCTCAGCCCGAAGACAGCCATGACTACCTTAGTGATATGCTTCGCGTGTTCGTCTCGAGATAAACCTTTGATACGACGCTGTGGAGTGCGCATAGCGGCGGCGAACTCGAGGGTCTGGCCAACGGTGAGGTGAGGGAAGTGCTTGTCCACCTATAACATAATTAGTGCGTGTAATGCTAGCTCACGACAGCATAGGCATACCTCTTGGTTGTAGACCACTTCACCTTTGAACTCCTTGATCATCTGATGTTGAGGGATGCCTGTACCATGTCAGTACATAGATACACATGTAGATTATAAGAGTGTCGTTACCATTGTAATGTATCACGCTGTCATCATTGACAGTCAACCCCTCAAGTTCACCACAAAGTGACTTCAGGAAAGTACTGCAGCCAGCACCTGGGCGACCAAGCACCAGAAGAAGCTCTCCACTCTTCAAAACACCGTTGAACTCATTCAAAATCCGCTTGGGCGGGGAGTGACGATTCCGAAGTGCCTCGGCAATGCGAAAAGGGGCAG